ATAAAATTGCACAAATCCTACTTAATAATAATAAACAGAACTTTACGACGTTGCCGAAAGTGGTACGTTTTGTTTTAATTACAGGTTACTGTAATGAGTCATGTTTCCAATTCCCCCGCTTATGTTTCACCCCCCTGATATCTTGTTTAACCCAAGTTGCTTTATTTCTTATAGATTTTTTTAGCTTTTTAAGTAATGGAGGAGTTTCATTGTTACCTTGTTCATTTTCTATTATATGAGATAAACTGCTGTTGCTTTCACTGTTTGTGATTTGAGGAACCTGTGATCCTTTGGAAAAAACAACTTCACATGGAGCTTCAAGTTGTCGACCATTTATATTATTTAAAGTTCCTGCATCGTCTTCTTCTCTGGAATCCTCATCAGATACAAGAGCCGCATCAGGTGGTTCAACGAAATTCTCCGAAACGTCCAGATTATCATCCTCTTCCAGTAATGAAAGTGCTTCGTGCAGTGATATGCCCCTGTTATAATGAACATACGATTAGTTAAACAATAAAACGTCATTTTGAGGTTAAAAATAACACATTTTTAATTAAACATTAAACTAATAGTAAAATATAACTCAGCAAACAGCATAATTTAAACAAAAACCGAGTTGCAAGGGCAAAGTCCTAACGGTTCCATATGGAACCAGGCACCATTTTGTTATAAAATATGCTATTTTAACTCAAGATCTGTCAATGTCCTTACGTACGGTTATTACTTTAATATTAATAAGCACAATTATCACAAAAAAATCATGCAAAAACATAATCATTGTATAAAATAATAATACTTACACAAAGCGGATGTCCATTTTGATTGTATAAAAACAACACGACTGTTTGATGGCCACTGACAACTAACGGAAGCGTACGTATCAATGTTTCTGATTACAGATCGATGCGCCAGGGCTTTCGGAAAATTGTTAGCACACACTTAACTCACTGCGCAGTTTTGCGGGGAGTTCAAATAAGAAAAGTTAAAACATCGCGTTCTGGTTCCATATGGAACTGCAAGGCTTTAAAGGGTTAATAGTTTTTTTATTTATAAAAATGACGGGGCCCAGAGAAATATAAGTTATAGCCCCATCTTCCCGGTGCTTGCACGGGTTGGACTGGCCCAACCTGGGGTTCTGTGGCTACCTTACCCTTATAAACAGTTGTTTCAAAAGTTTATTATAATACAGTACATTAAAATTGGATACTAAACATCTCCCTCCAGTTCCTGAGATAACAAAAAACATAAATTAATAAAATGTTTAGTTTAATAAAATAATAATAAATAAACTTTATTTATCAAAAGCTATTTCATTACAAATTCTTAATAATTCGTAATTGGTTTTAAATGCGTAACACACAATCGTTTAAACATTTTTAAGTTATCACAGACTTTAATATCATGATTTAAATTATTATATAAACTTAAACCTTAAAAAATACACTATTAAAAGTTTTACTGTTTTTGTTGGTTAATGGGATAAAAATAAAATAATAATTAGTTTTAATGCAATATTTATTCTAAGTGAAAAGCACTTAGAAGGTACCGTCTTTATATGGAACTGCAAGGCTTTAAAGGGTTAATAGTTTTTTTATTTATAAAAATGACGGGGCCCAGAGAAATATAAGTTATAGCCCCATCTTCCCGGTGCTTGCACTGGTTGGACTGGCCCAACCTGGGGTCCTGTGGCTACCTTACCCTTATAAACAGTTGTTTCAAAAGTTTATTATAATACAGTACATTAAAATTGTATACTAAACATCTCCCTCCAGTTCCTGAGATAACAAAAAAACATAAATTAATAAAATGTTTAGTTTAAATATAATAATAATAAATAAACTTTATTTATCAAAAGCTATTTCATTACAAATTCTTAATAATTCGTAATTGGTTTTAAATGCGTAACACACAATCGTTTAAACATTTTTAAGTTATCACAGACTTTAATATCATGATTTAAATTATTATATAAACTTAAACCTTAAAAAATACACTATTAAAAGTTTTACTGTTTTTGTTGGTTAATGGGATAAAAATAAAATAATAATTAGTTTTATTGCAGTATTTATTCTAAGTAAAAAGCACTTAGAAGGTACCGTCTTTACATCTCTATTACGACTTACTTATTTAAAACGAAAGAGTAGCTTTAACAATAAAACCCTTCAGCATTTATAATCACGTTGCCTTCTCATGATCTTGTGTATAAAACTTAATATTTGGGTTAGACTGCCTAGATATTTTAAAAGAATGCACGACACTGGTTTTTAATATAAAGTTATTTATTAAAACACGTAGTCAGATAAATCCGCACAGAACACAAAATTAATTCCAGGAGAAAATGCGATTATTTTTGATTATTTAGCACACTTTACACACTTCTTCGATCTGTGCTCATCGCAGATTGGAATGTGACAACTTGAGCAAGCCAGTTTTGTTTTCCGATCTTTAGATCTGTCACAAAATCCGCATCGCACTTTTTTTCCAAAACAGGGGCTTCTTTTCTATCCTGTATATCTACGTCAAAAATGTCACTTATGATGTACTTTAATCCTCTTCTCAACATGGTAATTTCCAGTCTGCATTTCATAAATGGCTCAATTAGTTCAAATGCCAATGTGTTTAGAAAGGCTCTTCTGACAAGTTTTGGATTATTTGTAACGGAAAAATTGTATAAAACCATTGCATTTATTCCAGCGTGGTCAAGCATGCCACAAAATACCCTCATAGGCCACCTTCTGGTGGACCGAGCTGTGGTAAAAGTGTGGCAGAGTTTGTCAAATGTGTCCGTACCGCCTTTGGTACTATTGTAATCTAAGACTATTATAGGTTTCTTTGTGGTCTCATCTACATCATTTGAATAATGCATAGTAGATAACAATTATACAACTTTTTTCACCTTAGGAGTAAATGATCAAGTCTTATTGTGATCAAAAACAAATTTTGATTTACCTTTTCTTTTTCCCGCTAAAAAATCGGTAGGAATTTCCCGCTTATTTTTTCGAAGAGTATCTATTATAGTTTGTCCATGTTCGGTTAACATGTTTTCAAAAAAATCCACTGGCGAAAACCAATTATCGACAGTAATGTTCCTGCCACTACCGTAAATAGGCTGTGCCAAGTTTTTGATGTAGTAAAACGGAACAGCCGTATTATTTTCCGTAATAACTTTGCCAACATAAGGAATGGCGGTAATCATATACCAGGTTCGTGCGTCATTCATCATTACAAACTGTCCGGTTTGGAAGCTAAATAAATTTTAAATTGACAACTGCCTCTGTAGCCGATAAGCTGCTCATCAATTGTACAATATTCATGTGGTGTATAATATTCTGTACAGTTGGACACAAATTTTTCCCAAATTTACCTGATATGTGCAAATTTGTCGTTTTGTCTTCGTTGTGCTCTCGTAGCTTTGTCGTCAAAACGTAAACATGACGTCAAGAAATCAAACCTGTTTGACGGCATAGTAGCTCTAAATAGCGAAGTTCCTAACTAAGGTGACCACAGCTCGTGCAAACTCAAATATGCAGAACGTTGGACGCCACAAAGATACAAAAGCCCAAACAATGCTTTTATTTCAGCGCTATCTGTTGTACTGTGATAAGACTGCCGAACGTTAATTGATTTACACCGTCTTCTAATTTCTTCATAAGAGCGAACAACAGTTTTATTTATTATATCGTCAGAAAAAAGTAAAGAACAGGCTTCAAGCGGACTTTTTACAGTTTTTGCAGCTCCTTTTGGACCAGGTAAATGGCTAACGAGATTTTTTCTTTGGCGTCTTCTCCGCTTTCGTTGCTCCATCTATATCCGTTCTTCCCTTCGGTTACTGTAGTTTTCACTTTGTTTGCATTAGACGGACCTGGTTCTTCAGTCTCTGATTCCTCGCTTTGCTCTGTGTTGGAACGTTCTTGTTCTTCTACGTAGTCTTCGTCTTTGTCTGAGCCTGGCTCGCCAAAAACAGATGGTTCTTCCTCATTTTAAATCTCGAACATCAAACGATTCATTTCTGCCTTTCCCAATCGGACATTATTGTCGCTAATCTGTAACAAACGACTTACCTCAATATCAAAAAAGTCCAGAAACGAAAATGTCGAACGATAAAAAAAACTAACGTGAAACACACACTGGGGTCTAGAAAACCCGGCACCACTTTGCGCGCTGGTCACTGAAATACCAAAGCCGACAAACATCTCGCAATATAACGGTGCGATAGTGGAGGGAATATGCTAAATTTACACGACGTTGCCAGATTGTATCAGAAATATGTGAAAATATGTAAATTTGCTGGGGGCTGATAGACCCCAGTGTGTGTAGCGAAGGTTAGAGAGCGCGGACACGGCCATTCTGCACATCCTCGGGCACTCAATGGTCATCTGGAACGCAAAAGCCTAAATTATAAACATTGTCGCTACTTCCGCTCATCCATCCTGACTAACCAAGAATAATGCAATACAACGCGATATTGTTATTATAAATATGATTAATCAATAAAAAATAATTTTTTTAGGAGGAAACCGAAGCCGATATACTTGGCAACTTGCAATAGTAAGTTATGAAATGTTGGGAGAAATGCTAGAAAAATAGGGCGATTAAGAAATGAATTTAGAATCACTAGTGAAAAACTAAATACTAGCCGGCCTATTGCCTGCATCAAATATTGATATTTCGCTATGTTAAAGTACACTGAAAGTACTTGGAGTACAGTGTTTGAGTACTTGTACTCGAGTACCGCACGGCTTTGATAACTAATGACAATTTCAAAGTGTCTTTTCCAAATATTGCCACAGCCATAAGCTTGACAAATCTTTGACCAGTAGAAGCATGTGCCAAAATGTTATAATATATTTCCTTTAAAATATAATTATTCACCCCCAAGTAGACCTAAAAAAATGTATGCAAGATTACTATTTTAAATTATTATTACGATATATGACCTATATAAAAATTATTGTAATTTAAAACATTACATTAATTTTATATGATAGGAAAATATTAACATGTTTTCCACAATATCACCCACATTTGGGTTGGTACTTGGGGCGGCAGGTAATCCAGTTTCCATTTTTTTTATTATGTTCTCCTGCAGTTCATAATTTAAATTTTTAATTTTTTCCATTTCTTATTGTAAGGAAGAATTTTCAATTTTTAACTCATCATTTTCTTCCTTAAGTTTTTTTAATATTCTTTTGAAGATTTTCCTACAAAAAATATGGTTTTAATTAGAAATCGACCGATATGATTTTTTGTGGCCGATGCAGAAACCGGCTGATACCGATATACGCATGGCCGATATCGGCCGATACCGATAATATAATATGTAATATAATATATTTAAAAAATACTTATTAACAAAGTCATCAAAGTTTAAAATTTCAGCAAAATGTCAAGATTAACATGTTAACTGCCAAGGTGAAATTTGCAACTAAACTGCATCTTAAAATGTTGGTCAGCGACCAAATCAATTTATTGTTAAGACGCCGTTTGGGTCGCCGGCGACCAAATGAGTGATGTAAAGTCGCAGTTTGGCCGCCGGTAAACTGAAATAAATAAAAAAAAACTTACTATTCTTAAAAATAAATATGAAAAGAAACTAGTTTTGATAACAAAGTAAAACAAATTTTACGTCGATTTACGTTTTAGCATGGATGCTGCTACTTTACCTCCACTTTGTGATGTCATTTTATCATAGCAACATGTGCATCTCTTTCTGATCTTTCTGTTCCTGTTGTCCTTTTTCGATGTATCCTGTAAGAAGTGTCGCTGTTTCTTCTTCCTACTGGGCCCTTTATGTGCCTTATTTTCATTAATTTTATTTAACCCCAGAAAGAAGTCTACTAGTTCTTCTCTGAATTTGGTAATATAATGTTTTTATTCGGGTTAAGTTTCTTGAATAAAATAAATGAATTAACTACTGTGGTTCCAAATGCAACTTTGTGATACCATCTTATAGATTTTCTTACTGGAGTTGAATAGCTTGATAACTGATCGGACAAGTCGACGCCAGCGTTTCCAGTATTATAGTCTATTATGGAAATAGTTTTATTTATTTCCTTCTTTCTTCTATCTTTTTCCCCGTGCTGTTAATATCTAAGTTATGATATGTTGATAGCATCAGAACATCTCTCTTATCTTTCCATTTGGAAATTACAACCCCTCGTTGATTCTCCTGTCCAATAATTTCTCCCTTTTGTAGTTTAGGGGACATTACCTTTTCTGTTCTTCCTGAGTGTTCCAACTGTGTGGGTAGTACTGTCTAGCAGGGAGTGAGCCAGTGGCAGACTTGTATAAAAATTATCTGTCACTAATATTCGTCCTTCACCTAAGTAGTTGTGGCCAAGTCTCAGTACAACATCACCGGCAAGTCCAAATTCTTTTGCCTCACTTTTTGCAGCATATATTTCGAGTGAATTGTATCACAGAGTTTAAAAAGCTTTATACCATATTTATGTCGCTTTCTAGGTATAAATTGCCTAAAATGTAACCTACGTCGAAAAGGAATCATGGTTTCATCATTGGATAGTATTTTTCCGGCTTCATGTTCTCCCGGTAATTCTTTACGAATAATTTAGCTAATTTTCTAACTTTGAAGATCCTGTCACCGTCAGGAGCTTTTTCATTATTAAAAAAATGCCAAAACCTCAGTAGCGCCTCAAATCTATTTCTCGACAAACTGGAACTAGCTATGTCGGTTTTGTACTTTCTATTTCTACTCCAGTAACAATTTATTGAGGGCATTTTTACGAGACCCATCCACATTAGAAGACCAACATTTTTTAAAATTTCTTCCATATTTGTTGGTATCCATTTACCAATACGACTGTATCTTGTATGATTTCTCCTGTTAATTACTTGACCAGCATTACGATTTGTCTCGTCTACTATTTGTTGCAATATTTCATCAGAAAGAAAGCATTTGTAGCAGTCAAAGGGTGTCGTATTTTCTTCTAGTTGGCAAGATATACCTGATACACAATTAAATGTAAAATCGCTTTGCGGCCCTCCACTAACATTAGTCCAACTATAGGAAACAGCTGGTGTGTTTTTCTGCACAATATCCTCAGGTGTGGTATTTTCCGAATAAGAACGATAATTTATATCAGACTTACTGTCGCTGTCTAGGCTAGGGTCATACTGTCATCACTACTAAAATCGAAATTTTCATTATTTTCTGAATCAGAACCATGTTCCAGGAAATAAGCCATCTCGGCGTCCGTTAGGGCGATGGTTTATTATCCATGTCAAACCTAACCTAAAATTGCCCAATAAATATTATAAAACCAAATATAAATTGTTTCTTACCCCAGTCTGAAGAAACACAACAAACAATTGAAATATCACAAATTATTTAACTTTGTTAATTTAACAATTAAATCTAGGCGACACAAACAACTAATAGGCGGGAAAAACAGTCGAGAGTAATCTTTAATAGATACGCATAGAGTGGCCATGATTGGACGCCGGCGACCACCCGGTTTGGTGGGAATGCACGTCTCAACAAGACGCCGCTTGGTCGCCGGCAGCCAAATGATAAAAATATGATTTTTGGAATTCCCAACCCCAAAATATATTGTAAAGATTTCTCTTTACCCGCAGGTTCGTTAAAACAAGTTTTATGAAAAATTGATAAATTAAATATTTGGTGGCTTTGGCTCGTGATCGTCTTACCCAAATTTGGACCTCTACGCTGTTTACTTACTTGTTTTATTAAATGCATTTATTTAAGAATGATACGTGGGAGAAATAGGTTTATAAGAAATAAAATACAGTGGCTTAATTTACCCCAATTTAATGTACGTTAACTTTTTACAAACAAGCAAGGGGTGGCTCTTAGGAGGGTTCGCCAAGGAAAAAGAGCCTGAGAAAAAACCCTGGTCGGCTATGAAGTAGCAAAGGAATACGCTCGATACTGCATTTAAACAAAGATTTAAAACTGAAGAATATTGGGGTTAGTTAGCCGGGCTATGCCCAGAATGTAACGGATTCCCAATATGGGAGGCAACCCGCCTATTTTAGTTGAAGGGTCGGGGAAAAGCGATGCAACCCTAGAGAACCTAGGGCAACCTGTTTCCCCTCATGGGAGAAAAATATTAGTTCATACAGTTGGACAATAACGGTCAGCACTCCTGGTTAGGGGTGGTAATAGCTAAAAGAAAAGGGTTAAAAATAACGTAAAATACAGCTAAACGTAATAGTAAAGGATAAATACACTCATAGCAGCAATAACCATATAATAATAATATTAACAATTTGAAAATGCACAATATTACGTTTAGTTAATTTTACTACACATTTAAATAGATTAAATATTTAGAACTAACCTTGTAGAATATACTAACAACACTTTTAACAATGATTTTATAACAATAATTTACTTTTACAATTTTACCAAAGAAAACGAACTGTACTGCACCAAATTCAAAACGCTTCTCCCTCATTTCTCCTTTCCAAATTCCTCGCCCAATGTGTATGCCAGATGTACTCTTCCTCCAGCTTAGCGCATACCTCTCTTGTTTGTTTGGCAAATTTTCTACCTAAATTTGAAATTTCGCTTGCCTTAAAAATAAAGTTTTATTACTTAATCCTATTTTAAAATTAGAAAAATAAAATATATAATAACACGTATTCTAATAAATTTATATAGGGTGTTTCTTTTTCGGAACCATTACAATATATATAAATTTTTTTCAGAAATATTAAGCTTCTTATTTCACTATAGTTATAAATGGCGTCATAGGAAATCTACCTTCTACCAATTTCTCCACAAATGACCACTTCACAATTTATCTTTTAAACCTTCCTAAGACCCAAAATAATTGCGCACCAACTTTACCACGTGGCAGGCATCTAAATAAATAAAAATAGCATAATGTAATGTGGGGAGTAGAAAATTCGTATTTAAATTTTTCGGATCACTGAAATTCGCTCCCAACTTTAAGTAATGTTACAATAACACCACTTTCTGCAATGAACTGTAAACATTTTTTGACCAATTGTGCCTTTTCAGATGCCCCTAGTCCATCTATTATAAAATATCTTATAGGTAGTTTCAAGGAACCGTTTAAGCAAACACGCATAAATACTAAGGCTTCTCGTGCTTTGGGTAAACTGTCTGATTCAAGACGCGTGCCCAAATCAACATACCATACACACTTGTTTCCTGTCCACTCCACTTGCTTTCTAATTGACATTTCGTCCAAGAGAGGTACAGGTGAATCATTTTGCTTTTTTCTTTAAGGCGGCTAAAGCTTCTTTGGTAAATCCAGGTGATTCATTCACTGTCCGATACCATTTGGAAATTGTAAACAAGTGAGGCAAGCTTTGATTAAATGTACTCCTAAGAAAGCTGTAGGCTCTAGTTAAGTAGAATGACAAGGTAAGAGCAAAGGATCTTAAAGCTGGTGAATACTTTTGTTTGCTTGGTCCCTTTAAAAATCAAAAATTTCACCAACTTGGTCTGGTAAAGATGCCTACAAAAAAGTATATCATTTTTCAAGTCATGCTTATACAGGGTCCGGCAGTGAAACCTGACGCTTTCGTAAATGGAATAAAATTATATTTTTTTATTGAAAAGAAAAAGAGCGGAAATTTGTCATATATTATGAAACAAATTGAGAAAAAAATTAAAGGAAAAATTAGTTTATTATTGTTAAAAATTATGGAAATTCAGAAGTGAAAATTTAAAAGCAGAAAAAAACATCATGAAAAAATCTACACACTGCATCCTAGACAGTTACTCTTTAACAGGTAAAAGGCCGTTGATGAATATTAAACCCCAAATCAACCTAAACAAACACTAAAAAATCCATACCTTAATCATGCTCTCAACAGTTTGCAAACCATGCACTTTTTTCTTTTTTCTTCAACTACCTCTTTAATAAAGGCAGTCTTTATTCCGAGCTTTTTAGAAAATAATCAAGCGGATTAAGATCCGGGCTTCGAGCTGGCCATAAAATAGTTCCATTTCTCGCGAGCCAAGTAGGATATCTGTCATTTAAGAAATCCAGAACCGCCCTTGTGTTAAGTGGTGGAGCACCGTCCTGCTGCCAAATTAAACTATTTCTTAAACTATTTCTTTGGTTAAGGTTGTAAATAAATTGCTCAATGTCACCATGTAGCAATTCTAAATACCTTTATCCTGTGAGAGCACCATCGATAAAAATTGGTCCAATTTCTTTCCTCCGTAAAATTCCACACCATACATAAATAGTTTGACGGCATTGCTTCTTTATTTGCCATACTGCTCTAGGATTCTCTTGTGCCCACAAATGGACATTATGTCTGTTGAAAGATCCAGAGGTCGAAAAAGAGGGTTCATCTGTCCAAAGTATATTTCTCAAGAAATTATTTTCCAAATCGTTCATTTCTAACATGGCTCTGCAAAAATTAATCCTATTTTCTCTATATCTGGGATATAATTGTTGAAAAGAGAGGATCTTAAATTATGGTTTGCTACGATTTTTCTTTAAAATGTTTGCTACTGTTGTTTTTGATAATTCCAATGCGACTGCAGCAGAGCGTACAGAATCGTGTGGATTTGCTTCAAAATGAAGTAAAAGTTCTAGCTGTTTTTCTGCAGAAGCAATCCTTGATTGACGATTTCTTTTGATGTCCGCGACACTTTTAAATGTTGTTTTCGAATGCACGGATCTTTGCGGATACTTTTGAATAAAAAAACTTCCAAAATATCACACCTTTCTTCCAACGAATAGCGCATTTTTTAAATTTGAGAATTTGACAGCATGTATATATTAATTAATATTATTACTTCTTGTTTATTTCTTATCCAATACTAAACGCAGTGTTTTTGCGCTTAATAAGTCTTATAAAATTATTATTTGTGAAGAAAATTATTATTTAAAATTTTATCTCATATTAAAAAAAATCATAAAAAATTAATCAAGAAAGGTTTTTGTTTGACAAAAATATTCTGAGAATAAGAAAAATAATGGGGGGTTCAACTTTAAGCGGGACACCCTCATATAATTGCTATTTGTGTAAAGTAAATATATAAGTGTTATATTTTTTATATTTTTAAATTCACCTTGAAACCATCTATCGAACTGTAAAAAAAGATAAAGGGCATTCTTCCATTAGAATTTTTTTTATCCATAATATTCGATAAATAAATAAGTAAAGTAAATATATAAGAGTTATATTTTTTATATTTTTAAATTCACCTTGAAACCATCTATCGAACTGTAAAAAAAGATAAAGGGCATTCTTCCATTAGAATTTTTTTTATCCATAATATTCGATAAATGTATTTGTCTATACATTTTCTCGACGTCACATATGAAAATTGTTATGTTACATATACATAATATATATTATATTATAATATGAAAATTGTTATACGCTTGAAAAAAACATATAAATTTAAAACATTTTTAAAGAGCGCTGGCGCCAACTCCAACTGAAAGTTTATGAATTGCGCTTTAAGAAATTAAATATGGTATTGAATAAATATACATTTTTACGTTCGAATGTTATGCATTTCAATCATAAATTAACCACTAAAATGTAAATATTTTAAAAATTGAAATTAGCGTTAGAGAAATAAAAAACCTCAATTTAATCTGTACCTTCCTTAATGATGAATTTTTATTCATTTTTTTACCCAAGGTTTCATAATTTTGTTAACCCAGTTGAAATGATTTAAATTATACAGAGTACCAAACTTTTAAAACTTATATAATCTGATGTGGAAGAAACCCAACATTTTGTTCACCAAGCATATCGAAACAAAAAAAGTCTTTGCCGAAACCATTTACATGGAAATTAAAATTTAACTGTAATAATTGTTAAAGGATAGAAAATTCTTTAATTTTATAATATTATACATTTGTTTTATTACTATGCCAAATATTATTTATCATTATTTTAACAAACCAAACCTTACCTAAGAGAACCTAACCAAACCAAATTTATAAATTATAATTATTTACTTTAGGTATTATATTGCCACATGCTATAAGCTGTACATGTGCCGCTAGTTGCGATGACGAGACTGCAACAGGACCAGTTAGACCATTTACTCCATACAAAAGGAAGCGACGAAAAGAGAGCCATCCATATAGAAGACCAAATGAAGACGACAGCGACTACCAATCTGAGGAAGAAGTGTGGCCCACAGCCTCTGCCCACCCATGGTCGCGACGCAATCGCTTGCGTATCGGAACTTAAATAAAAGGTATCAGATCTCAAATAAACAGGTTGGCTGTAGAATTTCGAGGAGCCTTGGAGAAAATTAAGGAAACCTTAAATCGACAGATAAGTTTGGCTGCTAGGGTTGAAGCTCAAGTAGCTGCTTTACAGCCTGAGAACAATAATGATTCCACACTGCAACCTGCTTTACACAATAATAATCATATGAAGGTAACTTCTTTCACTTTTCCATTAATTTTAACTTTTTGCGTATTCTTGTACCTAAAATTAATTATTTTATTTTTGGTAATGGCTTTATCAAACCTATCTGGTTGATGTTACTCGAGTCTTAGGAATGAAATTCTTTTGTTGTTTTTCGCCCTCGATTTCAACTGATGATAAAAATTTATATATTTCATCGTTCACTGACTGACCTCGATATATTGTAAAGATGATCTTCTGACAGTTTTAATGCAAAAGGGTTGGTGTACTGCTTTATTAGTTGCATCATTACTTTTAAGTTTTTGGTAGATTTATTAGTTGTTGACTTCTTTAAATCTTCTGTTGATCATCTGTTGATTTCATATTACAAAATTCCATCACTTTACACTTGTACGTAGTGAATGAGTAATTGACCATTTTTGTCTTACAGAGAACGAGTTTGTAATGTTAATAATTCCAGAAGCTTTAGAAGCAGCATCAGCATTGATTGTTTGTTTAAGTGTTAAATCAACTGGAATTCTTGAAAACGGTTTCATTGTTCTTCGAATGCCCAAGAAACTCTTCATCAAGCAATCCGGGATGTGTAGGTTCAATATTTATTGTAATGTTGGGATTTAGGGCACTTGGAATTATACTCGTAAATACTTTTACAACCTTCTATATTAACTCATATCTTGCTTCTGTCCCCAATTAACAATAGCTGTTTTTAAATAATACATATTGACAACTCAGCAATTGCCACGTAACAATAATTAAATAGTATTTACCAATGACGTTGCACTTCATCTCCCTTTTCAAAAGAATGTTTTTCATTCTGCGCATAAATGAAGGACATTCGAAAAGTCGATGTCATTGGAGGTCTAATCCTAATTAATTATACCTAATTAATTTAACTATTCTATTTTAACCTATAAGCCCTAAATAAAATCTTAATACATAATAAGTCCAATATTTCCTTCCCTTTTTTTTTGAAAATACAATACAAGGTAATATTGCACTTTTTATGCTTATCTTATATCTAGACTATAAAATTAAACATATCGGTTAATAAGACAATTTTGCCGACACAATTGTATCAGTTTTATTAAATAGTTGCACTCTGTTTTTATGTACAGTCACTATTTTACCGTTTTCGTCACTCACTTCACAGTTTACACCCTTACAGCTAATTACAGAGTATGGTCCTTTATACCAGGGATCAAATTTGTTTCTATTTTCAATTTTTAACATAACTGTATCACCTGGTTTAAGGATAAGTTTTTTACTCCTCCTATCATAATCATATTTGCGATTGATTTTGACTTTTTCGAGAAAAGCTCCAGCTCGTTTATACACTGTTTGCAATCTAAATCGCACTTCTTGATAATATGCATCAATATTATATAAAGGATCAATGGTATTATCTGTAAAGGATTCGTTAATACTTTTTTTCCAAGGATTAGTTCGAAGGGTGTGTAGCTATGGTACGTAATTGGTGTAGTATTGTAACAAAAGCTGTAGTATTTCAACCATTCATCCCAGTCAGTGTGTGTCTTGTTGGTGTACATTCTAATGTATTCATTTAATACTCTGTGGTTTCTCTCGCAACCGCCTATTGTTTGACTATGATAGGCTGTGGAAATTTTATGACTTATATTTAAAAGCTTAGAAAGATTTGTAAGGACTTCATTTTTGTATTCAGTTCCCATGTCAGTTCTAATTTCTTTCATAAGCCCATAGACCAAAATAAAATCATCCACTATGGCTTTTGCGATTGTCACTGCTTCTTTATTAGGGACTGGTATGATTACTACATACTTTGTTAATTCACACTGTATCGTTACAGCATAAGCGTTATTTCTTTCTGTTCTCGCAAATGGACCAATTGTGTCAATACAGGTGATGTCAAAGGCTCTTTGTGGTGTTGGCTCACTCACTGGTACTCATTGGCTCTATATGTCCAATTTTTATTTTGTTTTGCTGACATATAGCACACGTTTTTACATATGTGGCTACATCACGTGACATTCCTTTCCACCTGTATTTTGCTCTTAACTTTTTCAATAGTTTTTTTCTATCCACAGTGTCCTCCGGTAAGAGGATCATCATGTAGCTTTTTTATCAATGCCTGCTTTTCTTCTACATTCTTGATTATTTTAGGGTCCCTATATATTGCTATATTAATTTTCTTAAGTATAGCTTGGCCAATTTCTTTTAATTTGTTTACCGTGCATAATGTAAAAATCTGATTATTCATTTTTAGTTTTAAGTTTAGGAAATTGTGATCACTAGCCATTGATTCTAGCTGAGACAATAGTTTTTCTAGATAAACATTATCATTAGCAATCAAAATTTCACGAGTAGCGCTAAATTTATTTTTATTTTCCAAATGTATTCTTATATACTTCGGCTTAATTTCAAATTTTAAAGTTGGGTATTTGATTATGTCATAATTATCTAAAGACTCGTGTACTCTAGGGGTGTCTTCATTAGGTTTATTCTCTTCCGGTAATGTTGATATATGTCTTTTAGCTGCCATCGATCTAGTAACAGCTAGAACTTTGGGCGTTTGAACAAGAATTTCTTTTAAATTGTCGATGGCTATCCGAGATAAAGCGTCCGCGCTTACGTTGTCTTTTCCTTTGATATATTCGATTTCAAAATCATATTCCTCAAGATCTAAACGCATTCTAGTCAACTTTGAAGATGGGTTTTTCATGGCAAATAGGTAAACCAATGGTTTGTGGTCAGATTTTACTAAAAATTTTTGTACGTAGAGATAAGGTCTGAAATGTTTTATCGCCCAATGAATGGCTGCTAATTCCTTTTCAATGGTAGCTTTATTTAATTCGCCCTTTGTAAATGATTTTGATGCATACGCTATTGGTAAATCTTGACCGTTAAAATTTTGAAAGAGTATAGCGCAACACGCTTCTTTTGAGGCATCAGTAGTTAGGATAAATTGTTTCTTGAAATCTGGGTACTGAAGTATTTTAGGTTCCACGAGAGCATTTTTAAGTTTTTTAAACGATTGTTGGCAATCTTCGGACCAGTGAAATTGAATATTTTTTCTTGTTAGTTTATTTAATGGTTTACATAATTCTGCAAAGTTAGGAATAAATCTGCGATAATAGTTGCAAAAGGCAACAAACCGTTTTACTGCATCAGCGTTGTTGGGATTTGGATAATTTGTAATCGTATCATATTTCGAATCGTCTGGCAAAATACCACAATTAGTTATTCTGTGTCCTAGGTAAGTTCTGAAAGAATCTGCATTTTTTGGGATTTAATTTGAGATTGTACTTTCTACATGTTTCAAATACGTTTTTTAGGTTTTGTAAATGATGAGCTGTTGAACAACCAATTACTATCAAATCATCCATATACAAAAATGCTTTTTCCGGTGTTATACCAGAAAATGCTATGGACATCATTCTTTGAAAGCTGTTTGGACTAACCTTTAGACCGAATGGTAATCGGGTAAATCTATAAGATCCTGATGATGTGCTGAAAGTAGTTACATCTCTTGAAGATTCTTCTAGTGCTTTTTGGTGAAAACCCGCTTTTAAGTCTAGTACTGAAAACCATTTAGCTCTTCCCAGCTGATCTAGGATATCATCTATTCTAGGCAAAGGAAATTTATCTGCTATTAAGTTTTTATTTAATTGCCTGTAATCGATTACTAATCGCCATTTCTTCTCTTCATTTGTAGATTTTTTAGGAACCAAAAGGATAGGGCTGTTGTATTCTGCCATTGATGTTTCGATGATTCCATCTCCTAACATTTTACTAACTTGCTTATTAATTTTGGCACTTTGCGCATGTGGAATGCGGTAATTCTTGATATAAACTGGTCTCTCATTTATTAGTCTAATTTTTTGTTTGTAGAAATTATTTGTAGTAAGCTTATCGATCTTTAATCCGAATACATCTGAAAATTCTGTACATAATTTTACGACATCATCTTTTACCATCGGAGGAATATTTTCTTGCAACAGACATTTTTCTCTATTTGAATTGTTGTTTTCTGTTGTATATATGTTAAATTCACTTAATTTTAACATTAAGAAGTAATGTTGCTGTTTCTAATCGTAACACTTTCAAATGTTGTATTTAGTATCTTAACAAACGGTTCTTTATGGGATACGATGCTTCCGGCTATAAAAACTCCTTTTGCTATTTCTTCATTCAAAATTACGGCATTTTCTTTAGTATTTTTAAAATTGGTTATTTTGCGGATTACTTCACAACGAGGTGGGATGATTAACATGTCTTCTTCGGGACTATTATAGATTGGTAATGTTGTTTCTTCCCCTTTTGATCTTAGGGTCATAGTCCAATCAGAGTAATCTAACCGACATTGGTATGTAGAAATAAAATCTCTACCTAAAATTCCATCGGTTGGGATGGGGAAATCTTCAGCAACGACGTGGAAACTGTGTTTTTAAAATTATTTACATGAATGTACGTCTCAGTTGTTCCTAACGAGTTGGTACAACCATTCGTAACGCCTTTAATTTTACTAGCTTCGGATCTGTTGAGGATTTGCTTCGGATTTATTTTTGTCCTTTTGAATAAAGAAATGTCAGCACCGGTATCTACTAAAAGAATTACTGTTGCATTTTTTGTCATGTCAGTTTGTACAGCAATAAAATTTGAAAGTGATAGGTCCAAATTGTACACTTTTAAAATTCCCCCAATGGACCCAATTGGGGATCTTGTAAGTTTCCCTGCTCCTGTTCAGCAGCGTACGCTCTAATATAACGGTTGCCTCTTCCTCTCTGATTATATCTTCTGCGATATTCTCCTCGTGCTCTATCAACTTGTCTACCCCTATA